CTCTTTTTTTTTTTTCCATCATAAAATACCATGTTTCTTCCAAATAAAGTAGGCAAGATGGTTTGATATCGATAATGTCGTGAGTATAAAATTTCATACATTTGACGAAGTGATTTGATCCTCTAATAGTACAAGAAATTCGAAATGAATCGGTTTTGTATTTGGAAAAATACATATGCGTGCAATCTATCTATCTTCAGGAATAAACAGTAGATTTTTCTTCTACACTGTTTGAAAATTGATTGAATTCGGTATTTGATTGGAACCGGTGATTTCTAAGAGTTCATAAAATGGGCAGCTCAAAACCTTATCTATTAAATTAATATATAAGGGATTCTGAACTCTGTGAAAACAATGCATGCAAACCATATTTTGAACTGGGTTGTAACTTGAAACTGGAAGTGCCTCCTGTGATTCTTTTGGTTGACATATCCGGGGAGACAGAAGGCACACATCTTAAGGGATCATTCTTGACTAGCAGTTGAATTTGGTAAAATGTTACATACGTGTCTTTAAGGTGATGCAAGACACCAGGATTGGTTATCATTCTACTTTAAGAGTGACTTATTGGGAGATTAGCAAGCAGTTTATACGTAATCTATTCTGCTGTTTAGGAAGACTTCTTTCCTTGTCATTTATTTGTCACCTCAAGTACATGGCGTGAATTTTATTTTGCAACTACTTTGAAAATCCATGCCAAGCATTTTTACTACATATAACAAATATGATCTTTCTACTTTAAGAGTGACTTAATGGGAGATTAGCAAGCAGTTTATACGTAATCTATTCTGCTGTTTAGGAAGACTTCTTTCCTTGTCATTTATTTGTCACCTCAAGTACATGGCGTGAATTTTATTTTGCAACTACTTTGAAAATCCATGCCAAGCATTTTTACTACATATAACAAATATGATCTTTCTCCTTGGCAGGTGAAGGACAGCTTCAAAAGTGATCCAAGATACAAGTCTATCAAGCATGACGATCGGGAGAAGTTGTTTGATGAATATGTTGCCGAATTGAAAGCTGCTGAAGAGGAGACAATGCGGAAGGCAAAAGCAAAACAGGACGAGGAGGTGAGATATATTCCGATTCCCAGCAGTATGACCTAGATTATTTTCTTCCCTAATAAACTTATTGCTTTGTGATATTATGATTCTAGGTCCATTAGTTTCGGTTAAGTGTTGATGATCGGAGGAGAAACTATCTAATTTTAATGTATGTTCTATCTTTTGTGTTCTTCTCAGAGATTATATAAATGGTAAATGGTATCTATTGTTGTAATGTCCATTGCAAATGGATGGAAGAGTCATTATTGACAATTCTCCTGGCATAGTGCTAATAATGGACTAGATCAAAATGGCTCAATTAAATTCTAGTGCTTCTTCTATTAGTGAAGTCTCTAGAAAAAAAAAATATACCAAACGACGCAATGCACCTTGGGTCGCTACGGAAACAACCTCCTTGTATAATTACAAGGGTAAGGTCTGCGTACAACTGACCTCCAGACCCCAACCTGTTGGGAATATACTGGGTATGTTGTTGGTATATATTGTTGTACCATGTAATTTCAGCGCATTGTTGAAAGTTGCAAGTCCCTTTATATTTCTCCATATAAAATTTGATATGTGTTCTTCTCTGTCATTATCCAAATGTTAAATGGTATCTAATGTTATACCATGTAATTTCAGCGCATTGTTGAAAGTTGCAAGTCCCTCTATATTTCGCCATATAAAATTTGATATTTTTGTTTGGTACAATTTCATAATGTGCCAGTATATTCTGAAGTTAAATTCTATTTTCTTGATTTCATCTTGAATGTACGATTGCAGTCCAATCTTGTTCTGATCAAAGCAAAGAAGCCCCTTGTGTTTGAATAAATAGCAAAGATTTTTAATCTTTTTGCTGTTGAATTTCTGCCATTTGTATCTCAGTGACAAATGTCCAACCTGCTTGCAGTTGTATTAGTTTATTCTGTTTAGCGAAAGCGATAGTTGCTCTTGATATAGCCATTAATTGTTTATATTGCTTCATCATATATTCATTCATGTGGTTAATTTATTTGTTCTGTGGTTGTGCTTCTGTGCTACTTGCAGGAAAAACTCAGGGAAAGAGAACGATCTCTATGCAAACGAAAAGAAAGAGAGGAACAAGAAGTTGAGAGGGTGAGGCGAAAAGCTCACAGGAAGGAGGCTATTGAATCATATCAAGCTTTATTGGTAGAAACAATAAAAGATCCTCAGGTATAAACCTGCTCCCAATTGTTGGATGTTTACCATCCAGTTCTTATGGCAATCAACTGATCTCGTATACAGAGATTATCTATGTCATTTGCTCAACTAATCAATATAATGTGACCAAACTCACTTTCCTTTAACATGACATTGTAATTTGGTTGTGAAGGAGTTCTGGGGGTAGCTGATCGGTAACAAATAGTCAGTATCATTCTTGAGTTCATTGATGTAGGCTTGCAGAATTTATTTTACTATCTGATAAAGTATTTTCAATTCTAGATTTACGGCAAAACACCTTGAACTGTGTGGTCAGGATAAGAGATAGTTCTAGCTCTTGAATCTTGTAGGAAACTAATAGATATCATAACGGAATGGAGGGAGTTCATGGCAAAATCTAGTTTGGTCAACATTTATTGAAAGTTAGAAGCATCTGCGTCATGTTGCATTGTTTTGGTGACCAACAATAATCCTTAAGAGATGAATGAAGGTTATGTGATAATTCTCACATTATTGGCTGTGTATTAATCGAGATTATAGTGCTTGATTTCTGTGTGAATTGTGTTGTTCTTTTTTTTT